GCTTACATTACTGCTTGCATATTATATAATGTATTGCTTTTTTTACACACAATGGAATATATGATTCTATGATTACAGAAAATATCACGTCACATAAGTTCCCCTTCAAGTAAGGTAATTTACTCTATAATAATAAGCTAATGACTGTATTATTAGACAGTTTCATAGTTAATGCCTAGTTTTTTTCTCCATAATGCTGGAATCATAAGTCTATTCTGGCGACACACAGTCCCCTCACCTCCTGCAGGTGGTTTTCTTGGGGAATAATTTCATATCCTTAGCCTGACCCCCAAAATTAAAAAATATATATGTACAGAAACCACCAGATTTGCTCTATGGAGGATTCTGCTTGTAGACAGATTAAGGCATTTGTGGTTATGACTTGCCTGTCACTGTTAGGCTTCGCAGTGTGTTCAGAGTGATGGTAGAAGTGCTGTGGCCCTATATTTAAAACAGTAATTCTGAAAACAAAAAGAATGCTTCTTCCACCTCTGTTTCCTTTCTCTTGCCATGCTACTATGAGAGCAAAACCTACATTCCTTCTGTACGCTAGTGATAATTACATTCTCATAGCCTTAATGAAGCAGTTTATATAGAAACCTTAGCTCTCTGACAGTCAAGAACAAGCTGAAGCACATGCATGCAGATCAGAAAGCTTTGCTGCACGTGTATGAGAGCACAAGCAGTCTCTAGACTAATTTTTCTTAAAATTTACGTAAATTATATCTTGCAATGCACAGGAAACCTTGTAGCTGCTCTCTACTTGCAAATGTGAGAAGGAAGCCAAATTAGCATAGATAAAAGCAAACCTAAGAGATATGTATCTGCGTTGGTATGCAGCACAGCAGGGTCAGGGAAATCATTCAAAGGACTGGACTTAGGTTCAGCACATTTGAAAAGTAAAACATTGAAGTCAGAGAGAATTAGAGGTAGAAGCAAGAGAAAGGGCAGCTGGAAGAAAATAGAAATACTGAATCAAGAACTAAACTTTTCAAGATTACTACTTCCAGTGAGGAGGAGTGTCGTGAGAGCATGGGGTGAAAAAAAAGCCTTGCTGATCCCTATTTATGGTGATATTAATCACGACCGTGTTATCTCCAAGAGCTGCCTCCTTCCCCAGTGCTTCTGCAAGTTTTCACTCTGTTTCTGTGCTGCATGAGGACCTTGTAGCACTGGTAGAATACATGTTTCCTCCCACAGCTGCAGCTATTGGTGTGGGGCTGAGCAAACGGCTGGGGCCACGCAACTTCAACTGATGCAGATGGTGCCTCTTGAACATCATCTTGGAGAAAGCAAAATGTCAGTCCCAGGAGAAACCATTAAACATGGAGTAAGTTCCAAGAATGGCCCAAATATAATTCTTGTCTTCATTAGTGTCTTTTTCTCTGTGAATGTTGCTCCATTGTGGTGAAAATGGTAGCAAGCTGTATAACTTCTCAAAGATTTAGCAGGAAAAATCAAGCATTGGTGCTCAGGTGCAAAGAAGCTGCCAGATTCAAACTTCATTCAGGACGATGAGATTCCTTCCATTGACTGAAATGAATTTTGGATCAAACATTTGGAAACAGGCTGAAATGTAGCACAATGTAGTGGAGAAGTGTCAAGTTTGATTGCTGCTGGAAACATAAGAAAGCAGTGCTGCTGGTCTAGGGGCTGAGGCAGAAGCAGGGGAGATTAGCATGGGGATGACAAGCTGCTCTGGCTCAGGGAGACCGTCTGAGGTTTTTCCTTGTGCCGCTCACTAGATCCCAGTCTCCTCAGTTACTCTCCCTTACGGTTGCTGAATATTTCAGAAAGTGCCTTAGCTTTGGTCTTCTGCAGGAAATAGGAAGTTAAACTGTAAAAAAATAAGGAGGGCAAAAGCAAATAAGAAGACACCTAAACCACCTTTCTTATAGCTACTTAGCGTGTCCTTGTGGGGCTGGTGCAGGGCAGAGATGGACCAAGTCCAGAAAGGTTAGCTAAAGCCAAGATAAAATGGGATAAAGATCTGAATCACCACTTCCTCTGGTTTTTGAAAGAGCTAAGCTCTACGGCCTGGGCTTTGCAAACACAACCCAAGCCCATCTTCCCACTTGGCTGTGCTGTGTGATCCGAGGCGAACTGTTCTCATGACTCACGGGGACGGTTGACCACCATTCTTAACTGTGTTCCTTCTTTTACACATTTGGTACAAAGAAAAAAAATATCCATATTCCAGTTTTATGAAGACACAAGCACATACACAGTAATGCTTGATCTGCAGCCAGCTAATGGAGAGGATATGTTGAAACCACCAGGCATATTGTTACGAGGAGAACAATAGATATTGGCAACGTTGTTTGATCCATGTGCCAAGGGTAAAATTAAAGCCGTATGTTCACCCCATCAGACACAGATTGTGGATGGATGTTTACGTAAACAAAGGGTCTGTTAAACTGTGTTATCATTTTCTTCCTTCAGCTCTCAAACTTCGAGGCCAGGTACACCAATAAGTGGTTTTCTGGAAGAGCCAGGAAGAACCACATCAATGGCTATAGTTGCATGAGACCTTGGTTGATTACCATGTGGATACATAATAATGCCTTTTCTTTCCCTAACCTCTTAGAATAGCAGCAGTCAGAGCCAACCCCTTTATTCTTGCAGGAAAAAATCCTCTATAAAGTGCCAACAGATTTTTCAAGAGAGCTTGGAGACTGGGTAAGAGGTAAGCTGTAGGAAAAGTTTTCCTCTCTTCTACCTGTGTTGCCCAATATCCATACCTCTTTGCCACTGCTTGCAGCACCGTTAAAGCAATTGGTAGAAAATGAATCTGGAAAATTTCCCAGAGTGTACAGCTGCCCTTTTAACTTACACCTCACCAACACACCCTAAGTCAAGGAACCAACATGTGGCTTGTTTTCCTCTGTGAGCTGCAGAAGCACAAATACAGCTGTGCATATCTGGCACACTGGGTTTTTGATTTCATGTTTACTTGCTGGCCAGATAGCAGCTAGGTTGCAGAGAAGAATCACCTATTACTTTCTTAAAGAAAAGGAAGAAGGAAAATGAAATTGATTTTTTTAATAATGCTTGCCTCTGTGCCGTTATCCAAACCTTCCAATAGCAGAACACTGCAAGTTGTTTGCGCATTGCTGTATACACAGATTCCTTTGAGGGTTCATAATTATCGCTGGACTTTTATTGTAATTGCTTGTAGTTCTGGGTACATTTACAAAACATCACTTTTAACTTCAATACATAAGTTTCATGGAATAACTAATATTATCAATGTGAGATGTTCCAGGGGAACTATGATGAACATGCTTTTCAGCTCTTTTCTCTTTGACTTATTTTTTCATGAAAATAAGAAAACAAAACATCATTGCTGTGTTCTAGTAACATCCAGGTATGTCACGCTGATTTAGAGCATCAATCTCAGACTCCGTGCAAATCAGTGCAAAAGCTCCTGATCAATGTAAATCAGAATTAGATATTCATAAATGACCACGTCTTTAATTTCATTGTGGAAAATACCAAAATGAATAGAACTTCATTAAAAAAAAAAAAAAAAAGCTTGTTACAACAAATTTGTTCACTTTCTCAGCAAAATCAGCAGACGCTATGCTTTAGAAAATGCATACAGCAATTTTTAGAGTTATGTTTGTATCCTGATTGACACCAATGCATATGGCAGAGATCAGCTGCAGGAGAGAGTCTGGTAGATCTTATAGATCCTACCAGTAGGAGTGCTTTGAAAATGGGCAATCACAGGTACTGAAAGGATACATCATCTTCATTTTACTCTGGCAGCTAGCAGGAGAACTGATCACTAAGCTGATCTCATTCAGCTCTTCTCAATCACTTGCAGAGATGAGAAAGTTGTTCGAGAGATATCACTGGAGGCTCTGGGATTTTCTTCTGAAGTCATTCTGAATTTGCTGCTAATGGGGAGCTTTCTTTGATAGCTCTTTTATAATTAAATGCAGCTGGATGAAAATCAACCACAAAGGGAACTCAAGTTTGTTTATCGTTACTTCTGACTTTGTTAGCAGATGTTTTCTGAGTGCCATAGTAGCTTGTTTAATTCGTCTCTGTGTAATGTGAAGCAGGTAAACTTTGATTAATAAACTGACAAGTACATTCCTTAATTTATTTTAGAAGTTTCCATCTCTCTCTGTTATAGCACAGATGCCAAATCCCAAAAGAATGAAAATAACTGTTTGTGTTTGATTTGTACTGTTATTTTTAAGACCAAGGCCAGATGAAAATGTGCATAGTGGGGACACAGCCCTTACCTTGTAATGGATGCAGCCACTTGAAAACTTGTGCCACTTGTGAACAGTGCACATATTGTGCTCCCACCAGGCAGGTCTGTGTCAATTGATGTACAACTGGTTGCTTTAGTTTATTTGTTGTTATGTTAATCACATTGGAAAATGGTATTTGGGCTTACTACCTACTCACCCTTGCTAATTGTGGTGGACTACTGTCTGTCCTTACAGTAATGCAGGTGTAACTGGGCTTAAATTTTGTATCTGATATAGCTAATCAATAGTTAAGTTACAAGAACATCTAAGTGTGCAAATGCAAATGATTCAGGGTTCAGATGTGTGAGCTCTTAGACAGAACTCCCAGGATTTCTTTACTTGAGCAAGATGTCTACATCTGGGTGTGAAAATCTGGGCCGTGGTCTACTTCCCGCAAAGTGTTTTGGATTATCAGATATCAAAATTACATAGGAAGCATATATGCAGAAATTGGTTCCTACGCATAAGATGAACAGCTTCCTTCCTATCTTTCCCTCGGTTGTGCATTTTCCATCCTTTTCTCTCTCACTCATTTATCAGCTTCTGACCTATGAGGAAACTATTTCTACTTCTGTCTGATCTCCTGTTCTGCAGAGCTGACCCTACTTCGATTTGCTGTGTTCCTTCGTTATCTGCCCATTCTAATGGAAGTCTGCAGCACATCATGGACGTGAAGTGTAGAGCATCAGGTGTTCACAGCTTTCCATTGCGAAGTGAAGGTGTTGGGAGCACCTTGTCTTCAGGTGAGATTAAAGTGCATTATCTCGCCTGACTTCCCTATTGTCCTGGATGGTTGTTTCTATAGAGACTTGGTGTCCCTTGTATTAAAGGCACTTAAACTACAGGTTCACACTTCATTGTTGTGATAAACAGCCTATTTGTTTTTTCCTCTTTCACATTCAATTAGTTGCTTTCTAATAATTACTGTGTGCTTTATTTTTTTTTACGTGGGCTTAATGAGTCAGAAATAGAAGTAGCAGCGAGTCTTGCTTTTTAGCGCAAACACGTTGATAGCCTGAACTGAAAATTCCCGTTACCTCACCTTCCTAACAAAAATATATTTTTGAATGAGATGCTTTTTGCTTCTGAAGACTACTGAGGCTCTTTGATAGCAAAGTGAAATGCAAGGTTGCAGCAGATTGAGAGTGAGAAACCTTTTGAAAGTAAAACCTGACTCAGTGGACCTTACCGTGCTTGGCAGTTGTCTGGTGCAGTCAGCTGTGAACCAGAGCAGATATATACTTGTTGCCATCAGCAAGTGCCCAAAGTGCTTAACGCTGCAGAGTTTAAGCGACTCAGACACCAGAGACCACAGCCATGGGGTGGGGAGGAGAGGACATGTTGAGCTGGACCACCAGGTCATGGTGCTGCTGGCTTATTGCAATAATGGGATTCTCAGGGCAGAGCCAACGCTTTAACTATGAGAAAGTGTAAGATATGCAGGATGATGATGCGTGGAAAGAAGAAAAACACTCCTGAGTCATCCTGTTTCCTGAGCGTAAGGAGGAACAACGTTGGATTTTCATCCTACCTTTACATTCTGTGACAGGGCAAGCTCTCCTTACAAAGCTGAGAGCAGAGAGATTATCAGAACCATCAGGTTTGTGGTGTATTCACAACAGAACGGGCAGCTTAAAAAAGGATGTACTATTTGATCGCAGTTTCCTGCATATGGAAATCTTAGGTCACCTTGCTGTTCCTTGATGTCTGAAGTCTGCTATCAGGTTTCTGCAAGGAAATATAAATTAGTATTCAGTATCTTGTAGTATTTTTTGATTACCACTACTATTTTTCAATTTTAAGGACAAAAACAGCAGAACAGTGCTGCGATGACATGAAGCTGAGAGCTGAGCCCACACAGGGCACTGGGGAGGGTCACTGGGAGTGAGTCAGGTTGGTGTCTGCTGAGATGGTTTTGTTTGCAGTATTTTCTCACATATGTATTCAATAAGGCTTTTGTTTTACTGAGAAGAGACACTAGACAGCATTATCCCGATTTTGAAGTGACAGTGCCAAGGGGACTTCAGTAAAGGATTTGATGGCAATTGAATCTGAAAAGTAGAGCTTTGTAATTGCTTAGTTAGTTTTGAAGTAATGCTTATATTTAAGATTTATGTACAAAAACAGGCTATATCAATAGTAGTGAAGTGGTTTCGGGCCAAGTCTTTTTTAAAGGAACTTATGAACAGAAGGTCATTTCAGAGTTCTTTCTTCTCCTGCAAAGACACAAACACAAATCCCACCTCGCTGTGTTCATATAACATATAATACATTATTATGCTGCATTTAGTAAGTGTTTGTACTTCCTCAAGAAATCTGAGCTTTACCCTTGATTATAGTAAACTTCCCAATGCAAGCAAAAGCAATTATTATCCTCAGAGTTTCAGTGATCTATTAGGAAGATATAAGCTGTGACGAGACTTCTGAAGGCCCATCTTACAGTCTGTAAATCCTACCTTAAAAATACATAATTTGGAGACTATTGAGTCCTCTGATGATACTACGGTATTGAATCATCTTTATATAATTATGCTGGTGAATATAAAGTATCATTGTTTTCAGCATCTTTCATGAAAGCTGTTTTGACCTTCAGATTAAAGGATCCATATGGATTTCCAAATGAAAAAGTTGGAACTCCTGTATAAAACTTGAACTCCAGCTCAGCATGAAGGCATCAGATGTGCTTCCACTTGAAAAAACGTTGTTGTACCAGCATATATCCTGTCTGAATTTTTCTCCTGGGTAAAGTCTTATAAATGAGTGTATCATGCATAATGAGGAATGGAGGTCAGCCGCTTCCAATGAATTCCTTTTCAAAGTGTAAGAAAGATGCAGAGCAGCAAGGAGGAGAAATCCATTGGTATTTGAGCTCTGTAGGATGAAGAGGTTTGCTGCTGGGGGAAGATCAAGAGGAGGCAGTAGGAATATTTTGGGCACTTCTGAAGGAGAGATGGAGACCATCTGGTAGAGAGGATGCTTAAAGGAAAAGTGCCAGGACAGAGATAAAAGTAAAGGGAAAGGAAATAGTGACTGAGTAACATCAAAGAGTGAAGCTGACTATAGAGCAAAAAGGAAGACATAGCAGTGACCCAACACAGGCAAATCATAATACAAATGGTGGCACTGGGCAATGGATCCATATGAATCGGTGAAGGCTCGAGGGAAAAGCTCAGCATTTTAATTTCAGGAAAGTCTACAGGAAAGTGGTGTTGACATCTTTGGAAGGCTTATAATTTAAAACTGATGCAGTAAGCAGGGTTCCCGCTGCTTCAGAAATACTGTCCTGGAGTCTAATCCAGATACTGTAACTACAGCAGAATTTAAAATGGAGAGACGCCAAGAAGAATGTTTCTTCCCTCATCGGCATCAGCATCTTTTCATTTGAATGACTTTTAGGGCATTAGATGTTTCCGTTGAACTGCTTCCTAAGGCTCGTGTCCTGAAGCAGTGGTTGGTGTGTGGTCCTTCCCTGTGTTGAGCTGGAGCTGATCTCATGTAAAGAAAGGAAGATGCTGGTTTTGCTTTTCTCCTGCTGAAGGAGAATAACTTTCGGCCAGTCCCTTTCTCCTGCCCAAGTCTGAAAAACGTTTTTGTCATTGGAATTCCACTGAGAGTGGAGCAGTGCTAAGCCCCATGGCTGTTATGGGTAGAGTAATACATGTTAACAGAGTCTGATCATCTCTTGTACCTTGTTTTACACCTAACCCTTAGGGCAATGAATCAGGACAGGTGATGGGCCTAAGTGCTCCTACCGCTCTTACCCCTTCCCAGCTGTATTTAGGAGGACTTTCTGCATCCTAGGGGAACCATGCTTTAGAAGGATTTGAGATCAAAGCCTGAAATAATCTCATGGTTTTCTTTCTGCCTGTCTTTCTTTCACTCTTTTACTCTTTTCTTAACAAAACAGGTGTGTTACTTTTTTTTTTTTTTTTTAACTGAAATCGGTCCAAGGAAAGGAAAAGAAGAAAGTACTTCCAGAGAGTAATTAGTCCCATCTTAAAACAAGTGTGTAAGACAGGTAGGATAAGTCTCTCTCTGAAAGTGCCAATCTGTCACCACTATCTATAGAAGGAGCCTTCACGAGTAGCTTAGAGTAGGTGTTTGACTTTTACACAGTTAAATTTAGAGGAGATGATTGCCACTTTTTAAGTCAGTCAAAGTGCTTGTTTATAATTGATTAACCATTATAGACTGAAAAGTTGTGAGAGAGAACAAAAGTAAAAATATAATGCCTTTGATAGAGATATCACGTAATAACGAATAGCAGTAACAGCAATTGCAGATGGTTAACATTTTCATTCCCCATTGTTTTTATTTTACTGTTAAATCTTCCCAGATTTTAGGTCTTGTTTGATCCTGAAGAAGGAAAAAATTGCCCCTGCTTTAGTGTAAGCAAAAACTGCTGAAATGTTTGTAGGATTAAGAAGTGATTTGTCCTGGAAATGTCAATTCTTATATGTAGGGTCATTAATCCATAAAATGAATTTGCAAACATTTATAAGTTCCCTTTCGTGTTGTTGGTGTTTTACTTGACATGCTTCTGACTGCTCTCTAAATGAAGTCTGCACTCAGAAGATCCTGCAAGGCGTGCTCTGACAGTGTGGGACTTGGTTTTGCGTGTGTTTTGACCTGGCATACACAGTCTGTTACAGTGAAATAAACCCACTTGTCATTTAAGAGTATTAATCATATTTCAGGCTGTTGACCAAGAATTTCATTGTGTACAGTGCTTTCATCAGCCAGAACCATACTGCAAAAGTAAATAGATAAAATCACTTTCTCTAGTAAAAATAATTCTTGACTACAACCTTGCTTGAAGAGTAGATAATGCTTGTAGAAATGGCAGATGCTCTGAAGTTTTGGAGTATTGTGACAATAAGAATTTTAAACAAAGCTGGAAAAAGCATATGGGATATGTGGACAGGAAATCCTGTGGTAGTTTTGATTTTATGCAAGGAAAAGAAGGAGTTCCTTAGCTCCATGAATCTGTTTGTATGCAGTAGCCAAACAGAGATTTTCATGATCTTAGCTTTCCTCTTTCTTCAAAACATTGTTTTCAAGTACAGATGGGCCTTTACCACAAGTTTGGGATCCAGATTGGGGCTTGGACTTGGCATTCATCAGAGTGCAAGCATATTTGAACCCAGCATTTGAGGTCAGCCTCTTGTGGAGTTAAGCGCCTACTGATTGAGTAGATGTCTCCTGTATGTCGAGGCATAGGTGTAGAAAATACAGAGATTTCATTTTACTTGGTCTCTAAGGTATTTAAATTTAAAGTGAGAGACTTCTAATGAAGCAGGAGGCTGTATTTATGATTGTTATTGTGTCTGAAGGGTGAAATAACATACGACAATTAAATATGGTGGATATTATAATAATATTACTTATTAGTAATAGTACTAATTGTACTTAAAATGGTTTCCAATCTAAATACATTTGAAGTCAATAAGAGTACCTATGGCAAAGCATTCGGATCCTGATTTATTATCTACCACTTCTACCCCAGTATGTTTACTTATGTTTAAACTGACCTGTTCCTAGAATAGAATATTAAATGTTAGTGAATCCGTACACCTAGGTGTGGAAAGACAATTAGCCTATAAACACACTGACTTCCTCTTCAGGCTGAGAACCCCTCATATTTATAAGACTAATGGTTTCTAATCTGTTTTTAAATGTTCCATTTGGATAGTGAAGGCGTAACTATCAAAACACTGTAAAATCATAATGCCTGTGCAGCTATAAATTACTGTTTTCAAAATGAGCTGGAGGTCTCCAACTTATTCCCAAGTGCAGAAAAGTTAGATAACACAGAACTGCTCAAAAACGACTAGAAGCAACTTTTTCAGGCTTTTTCCAAATGCCAGGGAATTGTGGGTCTGCCCAGTAACTCCCAAGTAATACCCATATGGGTAGCAATGAAGCTAGTCCCATAAAGAATACTTGAATAGATCAAAAACATTTCAGATCAGAGATCAACAGAAAGAACTGTGTTGCTTTTTGTTTGTTTGTGTATTTATTTATGTTCTGGAAATTTCCCTGATATGAAAAATATCTCACTTATTTTTCATTCATCAAATTGTGGACTGCTTCATATGGGATACTGACTGCATGACCTACTGATGGTGAAGTGCTGCTTCCGTGGAATATGCAGCTTGAAACAACAAGAAAAAGGTAACAACTTAGAGTTTTTTTGTAAGCCAAATAAATCCTGGGTATTTCAGATGGTGGATAAATGGTAACTTTGAGTTTACTGTTGCTTGTGGTCTAGATGGATCTTTGTAGTCCTTTCCAACCTTAATGATTCTATGAGTCCACTTCTTTTAAATACAAATGCAATAATTACTTTTAACAAAGAAAAAAGATGCATGATTTAAAATATCATTAGGATAAGCTTTTGTGGGGCACAGAAAAAACCTTTACAGATGTTATTGGCTCTTTGGGGTTATACTAAAATAAAAACTGGGAGAAGTGCCTCATTTGAATTTATACTCCCTTTGTGATCCATCAAAAAGGATTCATCTCCTATTCAAATGACTAGTCAATATGTTAGTCAGATCAAATACTACTAATAAGATGCTAAAAATGCTTCTGAGGAACAGGGGGATTTCTTTAACAAGCCATAAAGTGTACTTCTAATCCATTTCTGACTTGCGAAGTTCTTTGTGATTCTCACAACTGTTCCATCATGACACAGTTCCAAAGCCTTGTGCAGGAGAAAGAATCAAGGTGTAAATCAAGGGCAGTGAGTAAATACTAACTTTTGTCTCCAACTGTTCCCAAAGCCATTGTGGTCTTTGTGCTTTCCTATCTCACATCTATTTAAGATACTGATGCTGCTGGATACTTTGACTTGATAAACCTATTTTTAATGAGATTCACCAAATCATACAGCATAAATTCTGTTACAGATTTAAAAGGTAAATTAATGAAATAATGTCGTCTTGTTATGACAATAGAAGAGGAGCTCCTGTTAGAGGAAGGTCACCAATCACCATAGAGGCTGGTGAGGAGGGTGGGTTTTTGCATATCTTCCTGGTCACATCAGCAGAACAAAACTCTTCTGTAGCTCAGATCTGAGCTCAAAAAATGATCCTTAATATTTGCCTGACAGACAGAGTGCCTTAGTGGCAAAGCTCCTCATCCTGTTTGACTTCAACTGAAGTTTCACACCCTTTCCATCTTCAACTTTTTTAAGCTAAACAGATTTAAGTTTTGAGGTCTGAAGCTAAATAATTTTTTGAGGTTGAAGCTAAATAATTAAATAAAGTCTGATTAGGTTTATTCTTCCTCCCAGATAAATCAAGCCTAATTCATAACCCAAATGTGAAGATAACCATGGAAATGGCACACAAAATACTCCTTACAATTTTGCTTGTTGAAAGCACACTGGAGCTGACCATCCCTGCTGGTTTGGATTGATTGAATTTGTAGCTGATATTCTAACATTCTGGGGACAAGTCTATCTCTAAATTTTGTCTGGAATACGGGGCACCATCCTATGACATATATACTTTATTCAATTAAAGTAAATGAGTTCATTCATGAAAATTTTTGCAGGATTAAGCATGTGAATATCAACCATTTGGGACTGAGAAAATAAACAATAACATTTAATAAATATACAGCGCACTAAGAATGTATTTATTAGTCTTTTGACATTTTTATCTGGCTCCTATAAAGAAGTCTTTGGAGCTGGGACAACAACTGGTGCAGGTAAATTTCCTACACTGGGAAAAGATCTGGTATTTAGTTTATGGGAAGCAGGCCTGAGCAGATGTGAAAAGTTCAAATAAAGGAAGGCCAGATTAAATGCACTTTTGTGGCTGGAAAATCAAAACAGATGTTATTATTCAACCACAAAAAAATCTATGCACACTTAAGTAGCATTAGGTGTCTGATCAGCTACATTTTTTTTTTTTTTAGCTGAAAATAACAAAACGATTATAAAATTATATAGGCTGACAAAATACCTTAAAATATTACCAATAGACTGACTAGCTTGGTCTTCTGTTTCGTGGGAAGGCGTAGAATTGAACTGGATCTTACTACACTTACAGAAAAGTGAGTATATCTAATGAGGGAAGAATCAAGAGAAGATTCAGGGAGTGTAAGAAAGAATAGACCCTCCATCTGATGCATGTTAGAGAATAATTTAAGATGCATGCCCTTTATAATCGTCCATAAACTTTTCTGGGCACCTGCCCATTTGAAAAGATTGATCTTGGCAGAGGATGACAAATTCTGGAGGTCTGCAGGAACCCTCGACAGCAAGCATATGTTTGCTGGGCGTGAATGACGGCAAATAGATATAAAGATTATTTCTAATTAAAAGAAATCTAGGTTCAGAAAAGTGTATGTTAGAGAAAACACCTAAGATGATTAATGGTCTAGCACAGGAGGTCTGAAATGAGTATCTTTGTCTGAAGAAGCCAGATCATGGAGACAGTGGAAAGAACTTTTTGTTTTGTATGTAGGGATGGCATAGTTTGCATGGGCTTGTTTGTTGGCCTGGCATGTTTCTGCTGTAGATGCACCCCTAGTGATATTGCTGAGATTCAGAGGTTAATGAAGAGCAGTTCATATTGGCTCAGTGGAGTTGACAGACCTTGTTAAATGTGCTACGTAAAATGGGGCGGCTCTGGTCATTTCTTCCCTGTTCAGAGGGAAATGGAGTTACAGAAACAGCTCAGGAATGGACAGAAAGAGACTATGAAGCTGCTGCTTTTTTTCTTTTTTTCTTTTTTTTTTCTTTTTTTTTTTTTTTTTTTTTTTGTTATTGCAACTGCTTGAGTTACCGCATGAATACCAGGGGTTTGTGTGTTTGAGAGGATGTTGTGTAACAACAGAAATTTCTCCTGTCCACACTCTCTTTCAGTAATTGATCACTGCTTGCCTGCTTCCTGGTGTTCAGAGTCACCGGGTCTGACCTCTGTTAACCTCCAAACCTACCCCTAGGCTACCCTTTCAAAGAGATGCTGCTTATCCAAAGATATTATTGCCCTGTCCTGCTAATTCATAGAAAGGCTTAGGCTGGAGGGGACCTTATAGATCATGTACTTCCAACCCCCTGCCATGTGCACAGTTTCTACCTAGCACATCAGGTTGCCAGGATCCCATCCAACCTGGCCTTGAATGCTTCCAGGGATGGAGGATCCACAACCCTTCTGGGCAAGCTGTTCAAGGACTCCAAAGACCTTCTCCACAGGACTGCTCTCAAGGAGTTCTTCTCTCTGTCTGTACTTGTATCTGGTACGGCCTCAACCCAAGTGCAAAACATTGCTTTCGGTATTGTCACACCCCATTACATTCTTGTGTGCCCACTTTTCAAGCGTGTCCAGATCCCTCTGCATGGCATCCCTCCCTTCTATTGTTTCAACTGCACCACACAGCTTGGTGTCATCAGCAAACTTGCTGAGGGTACACTCAATCCCACTGTCTGTGTCAGTGATCAAGATGTTGAAGCACAGGTCCCTAGACAAATCCCTGAGGGTCACCACTCGCGTCTGGCCTCCACTTGGACATTAAGCCATTGACACCAGCCCTTTGGCTATGACCATCCAACCAATTCTCTATCCATCTAATAGTTCAGTCTTCAAATCCGTCTCTCTCCAATTTAGAGATAAGGATGTGGTGTGGGACCATGTCAAAGGTCTGGCACAAGTCCAGGTAGATGACATGAATTGTCTTTCCATTGTCCACTGATTCCATTACTCCATCATAGAAGGCCATCAAATTGATCAGGGATGATTTTCCACTGAGGAAGCTGTGCTGGCTGTCTTTGAACACCTTCTTCATCTCATATGTGCCTTAACATCTCTTCCAGGAAGAGCCACTCCATGATCTTCCCAGGTGCAGAGGTGAGGCTCACCAGCATGTAGTTCCTTGGGTCTTCTTTTCTCTCTTTCTTGAATATGGGAGTGATATTTCTATTTTTCCAGTCATCAGGGTCTTCGCTTGATTGCCACAATTTTTCAAATATGATGAAGACTGGCTTAGCAACCACATCAACCAGCTCCTTCAAGACCCTTGGGTGCATGTTGTCTGGCTCCATACACTTGTAAACATTCAGCCTCCTGAGGTGCTCTCAGACTTTCTGGTCTCTTACACTAGGAGGGATTTTGCCCCCCCAACCCCTGCTTAGAATTTTAGGGACACAGAAGGCATCAGAAGCCTGATTTGCCGTGAGAACTGAGGCAAAAAAAACCTCATTAAGTACTTCAGCCTTCTCCACGTCTGAGGAGTCCAGCTCTTCCTTTCCATCAGAGGGGGGTGCATACTCCTTTGCCTGTTCCTTCTGCCTCGTGTATCTAAATAATTCCTTTTTACTGTTTTTCACATCCTTTGCCAATTTTAATTCCATCTTCTCCTTGGCTTTCCTGACTCCATCCCTGCATGTCCAGACAGCATCCCTATATTCTTCCCCGGACACCCATCCCCACTTCTATTGCTTATACTTTTCCTTTAGGAAAAGCAGAGGTTTCCAGGGAAACCTCTGCTTGATCAGCGGGTCCTTGCTCAGCCATGTTGATTTCCTGCTTCATCTGCTTGATTTCTTATTCTGTAGGATAGAGAGCTCTTGAGCCCTTAGAAAGGCATCTTTGAAGTGCTGCCAGCTCTGTTCTATTCCTTTGTCCCTAAGGATGGTTTCCCAGGGGAAACATAGGAGGCAGAGAATCACCATGTCCAGGAGACGTGAGGCCTCTTTCCAGCGCTTCTTGGAACAATGTACAGAAATGAGCTCTGAAGAACTGGATATATCTGCCCCGAAGATGAATAAGAGCAGTGTAGCCAAAGGACGGTATGCTATCATGTAATTAGGACTGGAAACTTTACTTATGAACCTGTAGCTCATGGACTCTCCGCGTGGACTTCCATAGAAGCCATTTTAGCAGTGCAGTGTGTGCTCTCATGTGTTAAACTCAGCTTAATCTAAGGTAGTTGCAGGTAATTTGGGCCCTTTTCTGGTCCTGAGGCTCGCTGTTAGAAGAATTCTAACAGCTCTCGGGATCTGGGTTAGTTAAGAAAAAAAGTTTGTAGCTCCTCAGTCACACGAATCTCCTCTAATTTTCCCTTACTTATTTAAAAATGCAGCAGTGCTGGAGGCCCCACCTTTTGGGAAGGTGAATCTCTCACTGTGATTCACACATTTCTTAACCAGTTGTTCTTGGAAAAGGCTGCAAAACAAAACAAAACAAAACCAAAATACAAAAAACCAACAAAACAAAACAAAAAAACCCACAGAAACATGGTTAAATGTTAATTGTAAAGGTGAAATTCTTGTTGGCTTTCAGGCAAGGTCAGACTCCCGTAAGTAAAAAAATGCAGGTTTTATAAAGTCTGCCAGCAACCTGAATCCAATTGAAATACAGCGTAATTAAGGCTTCCAAGACACTTGGGGTTTATTTCTAAGAAGCTCTTAGATGACCTGTAGGCAATTTTCAGCATTTTCAATGGACTATGTAATTTTAAAGTTATGGATGCTGATAATTTCTATCTGGGACCTTAGCAAGCTTCTGTAAAAACGTATGTTCTTTAAGAAAAAACAATCTCTCGTGACCTTAAAACTCAGCTAATGCTATTGCCTCCTCCCATTTGCAAAGGCCCTTCCCATTCTCAAAGAGTTTGTTTCAGTATTCATGTGAAGGTGGGGAAAACATGATGTGAAAAAAGGAGAAGGGATCCTTTGTCTTTGCTTTCTTTCTTAATGTGAATGCTAAGAATCATACTGGTGCAAAAGGGCTGGAAAGAGCAAAATGTGTAAATAATTTAATGGGGAAAAAGAATTGTAAGATAGCAATTCACCAGAGTAAGGACAATAGAGCACAAAATGCCATAAAAGATAATAGGCTTATATGAATTGGCATGTGTTAGTGATTATGCAATCATTCATTTCCCACAGATTTCTTTTTATAGGAAACTTTGGAAAATCCCTGTAGAACTGACCGAGTCATTTAACCACAACAGGTTTCTTTTCAACGTGGCTAAGAGTGGGCGATAAATATTTTCACATATTTCTATACTGATGTTCTGTTCTCATCTGCTGGAAGTGGCAGCATCCTGTGCTGCTGCAGTCACCAGAAGAAGATGGGACTACGACCCCAGGCCAACCGGGTCCACCTTTGCCACCCCTTCACCTTCCCAATTCCTGTGGGACTGCATGATAGATCCAAATGGGAACACGCTCACAAAGTGTGGGGTTTTGGTTTAGTTAATGCCTGTTGCAACAGGCACTGGGGTCGCCAAGGAGAGGGATTTCTGCTCCAAACAGTGCTCCCAGTTCTGGGCTGGATGCAAATCCCTCTGGCTTGCAGCAAGCAGCTGAGCTCTCCTCAGTCATTGGCAAAACGAGTCTTTTGCTTTGTTGCTGTCAGAGGCCATTTAAATACTTGTATTTCTGGAAGCAGTTTTCTCTCACCAGTAGGCTAAGGAAAACAAGACCTCGCTCTTAAGGATTTTTTTGCCTTCTTATTAAAAATGTCATTTTTCTTTCATTTTTCAGGACTGTTGTTTGCAGCCTCTAGACGTCCCTGCTGCCTCAAAATGGGCTCAAGGTAGGCTCTGTCCCCTCCAGCTTGCTTTGTTCCAGAGAGGTCCTAATGGACATTAGCATTCCATTTTACATCTCAGAGTACATCCTTCTAAAGCAGCTCTCTCCTGTGCTCCATGCCTCCTTCCCCTGCTCCTCCCCCCATACTGGGGTTGTATTTCTTCACTTCACTTTGCTTTCCTTTGCTCCCTTCTGCCCAGCCCTATGGAGAAAGAATACTCAGGCCACGGTGGTAGTGTCTGCTGTCCTACAAGAAGATAGGCAGGTTTATAGAGTTTCTTGGAGCTGGACAGAGCCATGGCAATAAATACAGCATTCTAGTGCAGAGTAGGCAAAATAGATTTAATCACACCTGCCTCATCGATGCCTTTTGCTGGTATCATTCAAATGATCTCAGTTGCTTGGTGTAAAGTGTTATTCTGTCTCATGTATACGTAGCAGCATGAAGGGAGAATGAGTGAAAGACTTCGAACTCCAAATAACATTAAAAGACTGAGAAATAAAACCAGTTGGAGGACCTGGATCTCCCTTGTGATTCAGCTTTAAAATCTAGAATTCTGATGTTTGAGAGATGGCATAAATCAAAGCCATCCATCAGGTTACAGACAACTCTGAATATCAAATAGTTCATTGTTTAAAGAAAAATAAAAAGAAGTAAGAACAAAAGAAAGCTGCCCGTTAAATCCTGCAAGTGGTTAAAAATGGTCATTAGGAACATTTGCAAATGTTTAGCTTAGCTTAAGTTAGATGGACATAATTTCTATTAGGCCATGAATTTTTTTTTTTAACTGCATTACTAGGCTGGCTATGAATAGTAATGTTTTCATTTTTAAAATAAGTTGAGTCTCTCCACACTATCAGCCCTCTCCTGCCATATTTTGAACTTTGGAGTGTGCAGAAGGATGGAAAAATACGAGTGGTGGGACACAATGCAAAGTGAATCTGAGCTGCCCTTAACTTCAGCCTTTGCACTGTGCCAATACACCTGGAAGATGCAATTCATCCCACCTGGAATGCTGATATTACAAACACCTATTTAAACACAGCAGTGTTGGAGGTAACCTCACTTGCCTGGGCACAAGGTTTGATCATCTTTTATGAATACTGCACCGCTGATTTAAGAAAAGACAAATACAAGGTAAGCTTTGAGTTGGCCATTAGATATGTAATTAAACAAAGAATATGAGCTGCAGTTACTTTTGCAGCACTGTGTTGCCTGAACCAATGAACGTTTGTGATTTTAAAGCAGCGTTAATCTCAGGCAGTGAGTCCTGAATAATGTTTATTAACTATACTTTAATGACTTGTCAGTTTTCTAAAACATGCTGAAGTATTTTAGAAATCACTTAGTAAATGTAGTTTTAATTCTTTTCCCATATTCATGGACTGCTACTTACTTAAAAAAAAAAAAAAAAAAAAAAAAAAAAAAGAGATTAGAAGGTTCAGATTTAGAGCAGCAAATTGCTGTGCTAATCTGCAGGTATTTCTCTTCTTGATACAGCCACTAATGTCTAATCTTAGCAACGCAGGCCCAATCATTGTGCTTTTTCATTAGAGCTGCTATGAACTGTGTGCCAGGGACTTGAACTCTGTGAGCAAGCTGCTCCAAGCTTGCAAGCTTTCATATGAAAATGTACTGTGCGTATTAAAGAACAAGTCTAAAAAGAACCTGCTACGTTTGTGCAGAAGCTGGAGAGTTCACAACACCAGTTCTGGTTGGGAACAGCATGCCTTTGAGCCTCCACATGGCAGGGTGATAAGGGCTGGCCAGGAGCAGGCATCTGGTGTCATGACAAATTTGCAAACCTTTTAATTTGTTTCTGTTTCTCAGGAGGGAAAAAACAGAACCTCTGTGATTCTTCTTTTTCCCTACGAAGTGTTATGGGTGAAGTTTGTGGAGAAAATCTTCCCTGCCAGATGCTGTCTACATCGTGGGTTTCCCCAGTTCAGAGCTGAACCTCCCACCAGTTGCGTGATCTTCGGGCTATGGGTGAGTCTATGATGACTTTCTTCCTTCTACCCAAAAGCTGCATTCTTAATGCTTCATGTCTTCCCAGCAGTACAGAATATCCCTGATTGGGATATTGTACGGAGAAACAGATATTCTGCTGTTAAAGATTCATTGCGATTGCAATTTTCTGACAAATGGAGTTTTTCTGATCTTCCTGGGAGTTGTAATGGCCATAGCCGGTCTGAGTGCTCAGTGTTACGATGCGTTCTTCTGTGATTGACTTGAAATTTGTACCTGAGGGGTTTGGAGTAAGAGACTGATGTTGGTATTTCCTTCCTTATGAGACGAGGTGTTGCTCTTGTTCTTTGGAAATCCTCTCCTGGAGGCGAGGAGTACCTTCAGAGATCTATTCCCCTGATGCTGCTGAGCATGGAAATCTCGATAACTGACTTTATTGGAATTGTTTCTGTTCACATGAGCTTTGCTTTTGTGTACTTTGGGATTATTTCCAGTAGTTCAGTGTTTCTGCAGTGAAGTGACAACTCAATCTAAGAGATGGTCCATCTTCCCTTTTCTACACCCTTTTCTACCTTTGTGCTTTCCTTTGGTCTCTATAGTTTCCTAATTTTTTGTAATCTTTCATCTTTCTCATTTCAAGTATCCACTAGTTTTGATCCTTACCAAAGAGCTTATTTTTATTTCTCAACCCTTTTGGTCTCAGATAAGGGGATTGATCTTAACACTTTGAAATCAGCAGTCATTTGACCATGGGCTTTGGAGACAGTTAAGCTCCTGAGGACCAAAACAGTGAATACAGAACAGAAGCAGCCTTGATTTAATATTGTGAACCTAATAAGCCTAATCCTCTCCTTTCTGTTTGTTTTTTTTCTGCTTGGACATGGCCTACTGTACAGCATTTCAGGTTTAGGGGCATTGAGAGAAATCACCGTCACTTTCCAGAGCAGACTTCAAAGGCAAACTCACTTTTCCCATTGCTTTTTATCTTCCTTCTATTTCTGATGCATACTTCATTTTTTTTTTTCCATGCTGCCGCTCCAATTTTTGCCCACTTTTGATTTCTCTATTAACATTAATTAGGCTCATGAGCTTGATCACCAGGTGGGTTTTCCCCAAGCTTCCACTGTTGTACTTCCCATCAGCAGCAGACTTGCAAGGGAATTTTGTTAAGCTGCAGAGAGGAGCCTAATGTTATTGGATACAGAGTGTTTCAGAGCTAAGTGTGTTTTATATCAGTTGAATTTGCCAGGAAGCATTATTGGCTTGATTATTTTTAAGCAGACAGGCTCGAGGGCCCTTGACCAGCATCGGGGGGCAATGAGAGAAGAGGGCCGTTAGCCAGGGGAATGATTCATACCTCTGGAGCTCACCAAGTGCTTGTGTGTCTCAGGGAAGTAGCTCTGCATCTTCCAGCTGAGGAAAATGCAGAGCAGGGAAAAAAAAAATAAAATAAGAAAGAGAAAAATAAATAAATCCCTGGATTCATTTCTGGAGAATCTCATCACATGTAAAATCAGCTGCTAGGAAGGAAGATTGGCACACACCTTTTGGACATTTTGTGCATGGTTTTCCTGGGCAGGTTCTTCCAGCATTAAGTTTTTCCTGTATTGAATGCTAAGTAGCATAAAATACGAGCTGTCACGGGGTGAGCTGCAGCTTTTGTAGCCTTTGTTTTGTGATGATTTGCATATTCAGAATCTGCCTTGGGTCGTCTTGTTTTTATCCTTCTTCTTTTAAAACTGCATTTACCTGAAGAAGGGTTTCGTTCTGAGTGCACCAAAATAAACGTTTTCTCTGCAGTTGACTTTAATCTGACCAAAAGAATGAACACTTGGAGCAGAAAACCTTCTTTGGGTCCTACAGGGCGTTAGAACATCTCAGGTACTGGCTGCTGCTTTAATAAAAGGATAGGATTTCCATTTACTTCAGGCAGGCTTAATGTATTGTTCTTGTAGTGAGACAGTCAGAATGAGTCAGGAGCCAAAGAATACACTTTATAGACACAAATAATCGTAAATTCAGAATGTCACCTTTAGGCAGAGGCATTTTTATTATTGTTAGTGGAGCTGCTGAGTAGGTTTGATGTTTTATTCTCTTGAGTACTAAATGTTCCAGAGTACCACAGCCCTATCTTTATCAGGCTCACAAGGAGGGAGCACAGCCAAACTTGCTTCCTATACTTCTCTATGATTGATAGCAGATGGCATGCTTTAAAATAAACCTATCCATTAGCAGTCCTCAGTGTTTTTACTCAAGGCATTTACAACTGTCTCAACCAGAAAACACATTTGCTCCGCAAGCTCACTTCAGTCTGCAACAGCTGTACAGGTGCAAATCTTTCATTAACTCTTAAACAGTGGTGAAATAAACGTTACACTGTATTTTATTTTTAGTGGAGATGTTGTTTCTCAAAGGAGGAGTGCATTCTATTATTCTCTCTTTGCATATGGCAGAGGTTCATGTTAACTGATGGAAAGTCAGAATATTTTTCTTCTGTCCTCCTTCAAATTTTCAGGGTGAGATAAATGTGGATGTATGTAGGTGTACTCCAAATGGCAATACTGGGGGTTTGTAACTGGGGACTGGGATTTCTGGGGTCTCCCAGCTCCTTTTCTCATACAGCCCCATGGGTGAGATCCTTCATGGTATCCCCACCACTGCTTCATCTTGGGGCTATTTGGAAAATGCAGGGTAAGATGCACACACACATACATATGTATTCAACCTGATTCTGAGGTCAATTCTCAGTAAATAAATTACTAAAATCTGTCCCTCTGTTCTTTGCTTAGATTTCTATGCGGTAGTCACAGAGGATGCTAAAATTGGCCTGGCATTCCTGCCAATACAACAAACCCTCCAGCACCTCCCAAAACATTAGTGCACCAGCAGACAGACCTTTAAAATATTAGTAGCAAACCTTTAATATTAGCATTTAGCATTAATATTAGACAAGAACTTAAAATATTAGAGCCAGATAAGACAGTATTAGCAGGGGTATAGGAGTCATTAAGCAGAATAACCATCGCTGACTAAATGGATGCTGAAACTTTTACATGCAAGCCAGCGTAGATGATAGGGACTTCACAGAGACGAGAGGCTCCTTTCATTTAAAAGGAGGTTGGAGAGACGAAGGTTAGGGATTTGAAAGCTGGTAAATAAAACAACACAGCGGGACAAGTGATATGGAACGTGCCATCTCGTTACCAGCGATCATGTCCTGTGTTATTTTTCGTAAGCTTAAAAGATAAAACAAGAAGACTGGCAATATTCTGTTGCAAATAAATGGAAATTGGGGCATTTTTTGTATAAATCTAAAGTTGCAGAAGGAGAATACAAATGGGTTCTCAGTACTGGAAGTCCATGTAGGATAATAGAGGTGCTACAGTAATTTAGCAGGATGGCCTGTGGATTTCATGCCCTTTTTCTGTCATGACAAGGAAAGTCTGGGGAACCTGAGCTTGGCACCATGGAGGGAGAGGTAGAGGCAGCCCAGGGTCTGCATTGAGCAGTGCTCCAGAGAACAGCCATCACCACAGCTCATGTCAGCTCCTCCCGTGAGCACCTGGAGGATTTGGTGCTAAATGAGATGGGGGGAGAAAAACAAGACCAGCTGTAGACATAAGAACTTTAAGAGCATCAGTGCTTGCTTCCAGCTAATCTCTCCTGATGACTCCTGTAAGCAGGCGAGGCTGGTCGGTGCTGTTAATTATTCAAAGCCCCGCACCAGTTTCATAGCTGAGTAGTGTAAGAGGATGTGTAGTGTCCCCATTTCTCAGTCTGTCTGGGGAAAGGCACGAAGCGTGGCTTCTCCTGCCATCCCTGCCTGCCATCCCTCTTTACAGGTGGGAAATGTGAGCTGGAGAGAGGCTGCAGCCATCCCCATCCCTTGGCCATCTGGCACTGTGAAACTTCACCTGTCTCTGTAGGGCCCGATAAGCAGAGTGCAGGGAAGGCATCGTGAGAGCCATCCTGCATCTTAATGTAATGAATGCGCTGATTTGAGGTACTGTGCCCTATACTTTTGTGTGCAGAATAATCCAAAAGATGTCCAAAATATATGATGTCTCCGTTGTTAATTCATCATGGGAGGAAGGGGAGGGAAAGGCATGTGCTTCAAGGTTTGAATTACATCCACAGTGTCCTCAGGCAGTACAAATAGCACACTTAGAGAGTTATACATATTTTCACTATTTATCATTTGCATTAAGATAGAGTGGAAAAGGGGTGGCAGTGGAGTCATGTGCAGCATGAGATACGTATTCCTTATGTTGTTTGCTGTCCCAAAGAGGCTGCCAAGGCATTTTAGTACATCTTAACCGTATGATGCAAAGCAGTTGGAAAAAAGTAGAAAAATATTCACAGCAAAAAAAAATTTATTGCAATAGGCTCTCTTGGATTTGTGCTAGAAACAAGTACCAGTACAACACTGATGTTTGAAATACATGCCTTATCTACACCCAGCCAATGTACCTGCCATTACAACTTCTTTTAGTTCCATTAGAGAAGGCAGCATGTATTTCCTTATGACTTGGAACTGCTGATTGACTTTTTTGTGAAATTGAGTTTATTTTTGGAGATTAGGTCACACAGAGCTCCTTTAGCTTTGAGGTGGGAAATGAAACATCTCAACTTGTGTTGCACTTAGAGATGACTTCTCTGTTAGCTTCTTTTGGTCCACTGGTGCTGTGGGAGTAGAGGTACCCAGACTGAAATGGTTTGCAGCCTTCCAAAGGGCAAAAATAACCGTGCATGGAATAACCGTAAAATAGCATCTGCAGCACTCAGACTCTGGTGCGTTTGGCTGCCACTGGCCTCACTGTGGCTATTTCCAGGAGTCAGAGTGCACAGGTACCTAAATATCTACAGGCATTGATATGTACTGTCCTCCAGACAGGCTGGGAAACGTTTTCTTGTTTAAATGAGAGCCACATTCAGCCTTAAAATTAGGCATATTCTTAAGTGCATATATGAGCTGGGATCCAAAGAACACAGCATATTAAGATAACGCAGATCACTGCAAA